GAAGCTAGAGAGGTGAGCAGAGTAAGCCTGATTCCCTGTAAAGACTTCTCTGTTGACATCCACCCCTTGGCGGTCATATGACTTAATGCAGTTGCGAGCGCCGTAAAACCTTACTAAAACTAACTATGAATTTGACCCCTGTGTTGATTTTTTGCCAATATCTCCATTAGGGCTTGCTAGAAGTCAGCTCATTTCGTTAGCACCCCTCAAGCAGTATTTTTCTCTCCTGTTTATGGTTTTCTGTTTCGTTTCTTAAAAGAAATTTAGAAATATACTTTTCGCTGGACTGGTGCATCAACTACATTTCATCACCATATCTTTGTGACATGGTCATCGAATAAAATATTCCATCTCGGCCTTTAAGATTGGCGAAGAAAAGACTTTTAAGACCTGTCCAATGCAAAAGTCAGAGACTCGGAGGGAAAGCTTTTTCACACCACGCCCCCTCCCTGTGGAACGCTCTGCCAGCTTATGTACGGGAGTCTATCACTTTAACACAATTCAAATCAATGCTTAAAATGCATAATTTGTTTCAGTCCAGCTTCAATCTGTAATTTCCGACTTTCCCGGTACAAATATTATAATGTTCTCTCAGTATCTATTATGTTCTCACTGTATCGTTTATTCTTACTGTTCTGTTCTGTAACAATTTATGACTGTGTGATATCATCAATGTGTATGAGGGTGTCTGGGTTAGTTTTGTGGGATTGTCTTTAATCAAGGATGTACTGGAGAGAGCGAGAAAGAGAGAGTGAGAAAGAGAAAGAGAGAGAGAGACAGGAGAGAGAGAAAGATGATTACTATAGGAGCTGTGGGCTGCATATGTTCTTTGTATTATTGTACAGCGCATTGAGCACTTCTTTGTGGAAATGCGCTGTATAAATGCAATATATTACAATTATTATTATTATGTTTGCCCATATCGCCTGTAGGGTTGTTACGTAGGATGGGACCTGGCTCACGCGGCAGGGAACGTCCCTCTGTATCTGCATGACTGGAACGTGGACTTTGCCTGCTGGTGCTCATACAAGGTAGGTTTTGTAACTTTTTCACTTAATAGAATAATTGTATCACGGCGGGATGGAATCGGGTGCTCGGCAATATCAGGTCATGTGGAGTTATCGGTGTCATCTTAAAAAGGGATGTAAATCTTCCGGCTTTTCCGTCCGACTTGCCATTTGGGCCCCAGCTTTTAACTAAAGCCTACTATAAACAATACATATTATATATACTAAATAGAGAATATTTGTTGTAATAGAGGGGAAGAAACAAATATTATTTATTCTCACTGTATTCTTATTTCAGTTTGTGCGCGCGCGCCGTATATTTTCCGGCTTTTTTTTCAAAACCTGTTTACATCCGTGCTTAAAGTTTGTTCATTTGTCTATGGAAAAAGTACTTATCTATCTTGAATAGAAAAAGAGATATATTTGCGATTGAAAGAGGTGAGGGCCGCCTGGTTTTAGAGTTAAATTAGAGAGAAAATAGCTGTCAAAGTTTGGTGGCTTATATAGCCCTAGAATGCTTGGAAACTGAAAAATTTACATTTTTTGTGCCTTTAATCGACGATTTCCAGTAAAACCAACACGGAAATGTGTTTTTAAATGGACATAAACGTAAAAGATGTTCAGCCCCCCAAATATTAGATAAAAATTGTCGAATGATAAAATTGTTGGTTTCTTTGATGTCGTTATCTTAATGAGCACCTGATTTCACCATGATGTCTCACAATTGTGATACAGGCTCCTTACTCTAACAGCTGCCTGTCCAAAGACAATCACCTGTACATACGATCAACTCTCCCCCCCCCCTCGCCCTTGCAGGTTTTTTTCCCTATATTTAAATAACACTGTCCAAAACGTCCACCTATCTAATAATAATAATAGATAGCATTTGTATATCGCAAATCCCCACGCAACAGCAAGCTCTATGAGCTTCACAATCTATACTATTACCCCAGCAGACCTGAGAGCATTCTGAAACAACTTCAACTTCCTGGGAAGCGTACAGTGTAGGCAGCCATTTATAGGTGCTTAAACACTATCATACTGACAAGATCTTTCGCTTTCTATGGTCGGGTACCCATTTCCACTTGGGTGTAGTGAGGAAAATTCATGTAAAGTGCCTTTCCCAAGGACACAACATCGGGCCTGCGGCTCGAACCCCCGACCCCGCAACCTCACGATTATAAGTCTGGTAGCCTAATCAATAGGCCACCGACGCCACAAGACCCCCACATTTCTCCTGGATAAAGAGTGGCTGTCTTGGACAATTTTGGCTGTACTTAATAGTTTGATGTCGTCTCCTTCGTCAGAGTAGTAACAGAGCAGTCTTAACGGTGTTGAAGCGAATGTGGGATTTATGGTTCCAAGAGGATGACACAAATAAGCACAGCTGGTGGTTCTCGTTTAGTAACATGACTTGTTACATTTGTGCAGTACCTGTGTGCCAGTGCGGGCGGATTGGCCGGTCTTTTCATCCACGAGAAGCACCGCAGCAACGACTTCCCCAAACTGCTGGGCTGGTGGGGTCACGACCTCTCCTCCAGATTCGTCATGGACAACAGTGAGTGGACAATTTTGTCACTGCTCATGAATTTAAGTCATTTCTTTTTTTTCTTTTTTTATATTTTTACATGGTCCTTTGGTATCTCACTAGTGCTTTTGTGTCGTCATTTTGGGCAACAGTGAGTGAACAATATTGTCACTGCTCATGTATAGTCGTTTCTTTTTTTTAAAATTTATTTTTGCCTGGCCCTTTGGTAACAGCAAGTGCTTTTGTTTGTAATAGTTAACACGAAAAAGTGGAATGTTTTAATTTTTTTTAAATGTTTTAAAATTTTATTAATCTTTTTTTTTTTAGTAAGTGTTTTAAGCCACTCGCAACTGCATATGAGCGTGCATGACACATAAACATTTTCAGTTGGTAGGAAATTTTGAATTTTGCGCTGGTGGCTGTCGAAGCCTACTCTTATCTAGTTTAGACCACCTAGGGATCTTTAACGTGCGCAACTTGCACACAGGCCCTTCGAGATTTTTCGCCCTTGTCTGAGAGGGCTAGGTGTAGATCTTTCCTACCAGAAGATCAGGGGTGTGGCTGAAAGACAGCAGTAAAAAGGAGCCAAGGAGTAGCAGTAGAAAGGCTGCAGAAAGAGTTAGGAGCCCAGAGGAGGGGGCAAAGGAAGTGAAGGGGTGGGGGCAGAAAGAGGAGATGAAAGCAGACAACTGAACATGGTTAGAGAGCAGGAAAGGAGGTGAAGATCAGGGTAACGTAGCTTTTTTAAGAGCATCCGAGCAAAGAAATGAATGGAGAACCATGATCGATAATGTCTCTCGCAGATCTGGCACTTGATGATGATGATGATAAATCTCTTTTTCTGTCTTCAGATATGGATCTGATCCCTGGAGCCCGGGGCTACCGTGTGAGTAACACGCCAGGCTTTCTTTGTGTTCCTCTCAAGGCCAGTCTGGAGGTGAGTCTTTTGCACTTTGAGAGGACAACCATAACCCCCCCCCCCTCTATCTCTCTCTCTCTCTCTCTCTCTCTCTCTCTATCTCTCTCTTTCTCTCTGTCTGTCTCTGTCTCTTTCTGCATCTCTCTGTCTGTCTGTCTGTCTCTGTCTCTCTCTCTGTCTGTTCTGTCTGCCTCTCTCTCTCTCAGTCTCTCTCTGTCTCTCTGTCTCTCTGTCTCTCATTCTCTCTCTCTCTCTCTCTCTCTCTCTCTCTCTCTCTCTGTGTCTCTCTCTCTGTCTCTCTTTCTCTCTCACTCCCTGCCTCTGTCTCTGTGTCTCACTCTCTCTCTCTGTCTCTCTCTGTCTCTCTTTCTCTGTCTCTGTCTCTCTCTGTCTCTGTATCTCTCTCTCTCTCTCTCTCTCTCTCTCTCTCTCTCTCTCTCTCTCTCTCTCTCTCTCTCTCTCTCTTCCCCCCCCCCCTCATATTGGGTGCAGGCCAACTATAAGGTCTTTCCCTGTCTCTATTTTAGGCAAACAGCTTTATCTTGGCTTTCTCATGTTCTGTTTATTTGCTATGATTGCGGAAACTTACACTTTATCTTATATGCTCCCTTAGATTTATCATCCGTTGGGTCACCTGTGACAGGTGACAACAAATCTCATCCACTCCTCTCGGCTCTCTGCTGTCTTGAGTGTGTCTTGCAGATCCATTGGAGTCCATTCTCGGATGTTTTCCTCCCATTTCTTCTTCGAACTTGCTCTGTTTTTTTTTAAAATGATGTGCTATATTTTTCAGTTCATTAAGCCCACCTGGTATACAGTGGAACTCGGATTCAACGAGGTCGCTGGGCCTGACCTTTAACCTCGTTGAATCAGAGTGTTCGTTATAGCAAACACAAGGTTTTGTGTAGATAATTAGAGGCACTGAACAAGTAATGTGTAAAGAGAAGTCACAAGCAGTGCCTGAAATGCCTGCATATTATGAGCTGTGTAAAAAAAAGAACGATTCGTTCAAATGCCTGTGTCATCTCGATTGTTTACCAAAAAAAGTTGTGTTGCTGTGTAGAGCCTAGCGTACGGCAAATTTTGATTCCATAGACCAGTGCACAATTCATTATGTAGATCAATGTCATGACTAGCTTATTTTTGTAATAATGATCAGTTACCGAGGGTAAAAAGACTGACTCGTTTGTATATGTGACGTTCAACGCCCGGCACGCTAGTCCCCCCCCCCCCCTGACACGCACACACAGCCACTCGTGTGAAGGCCACCCATCTGACCCCGAGACATGCCAGAGTAGACACGTGCGCCTGCCAACAACACATGTGTTGGTATTTTAAAAGGCCGCTGATTGGTCGCATGCAATCGGCTAAGTGAATAATGGTTCACGATGCAGATGCAATGGATGGTTTCCGGGAATAGATAAAGTTCGTTCTGGGAGAAAAATTAGCGAAGCCACGTCTTCGGGGGCTGTTCACCCTAGAAGCAGCCTCGTTGAATCCGAGCTCGCTGATTTAAGTGCTCGTTGAATCCAGGTTACTTTTATTGATTTTAAAGAAGAAAAAAAACGAGGAATCTATCTCATCTCGTTGAATCCGAGTTCTCGTTGAATCCGAGCTCGTTAAATCCGAGTTCCACTGTAATTGAGCTCTGATAACAGTTGGGGTTTTTTTTTTCACATATTTTACAGATTTTCAGCAAGACAAGCATGGAAGAGCTTCGAAAGAAGTCCTTGCTGTTGACGGGATATTTAGAGGCCCTGATTCGACGCTCGTATCAACGGCCTGTGGGTCAGAAAGTGGAAGACGATGGCATGTCAGTGTACATTGACATCTTCACACCGCACGACCCTCAACAGAGAGGGGCTCAGTTGTCACTAGCCTTCAATGTCTGCATAGAAGAACTTTTCAAGGAGCTGGAAAAACGTGGTGTTGTGGTAGGTGTTACTAAAGCTTTGCCCTCTCTTGTTTTTTGTTTTGTTTTTACACTCTTGATTCAGCCTGACTCTATATCTTGACTATGTTTGCCGAAACGTACACTTTAATTTATTTGTGTGTTTTATCTAATTGATATTTGATGTCTCCTATTTAAACTAGAGTGAAATGAACCTAAAGTTTGTGTTTGCTAAGTTTTCTAATCAAACAGACTGTCAGATTTTGATAGGTTCAAATGTGTTGATAAATTATGATCGAACAGACAGACAGAGAGTTTGAATGGTTGAAATGTTTTCCGAATTATCACAATTCAATTCTACATGAGGTTTAGGGGATGGAAGTGGGGGGGGGGGGGGAGGGGGGGGGGGTGGAATGAGAGTTGACATGGGTAAAAGTAACAACTGTGCCATTTGCTTACCTCCTCAGTGTGACAAGAGGTTGCCACGGGTGATTCGCATCTCCCCCAGCCCGATGTACTGCAGCTTCCTGGATGTGCACAGGTTCATGGGATACTTACGCGATGCTCTGTCGGCAGCCAAGGCTTCACTGGGTCACCTAAACACTCAGAAAGTTTGAGGCATTTCGGCGTAGGCAGCTGGAGTTTTTGCTGGCAAACTGTTTTATTTCATTTGTAAATGAATTGAGAGTGATTTTGATAATTACTGTGATGCTTAGGCACTTGATTATAAATATGTGAGGCAGCGTGGTGGAATCAGGCTCTCGTCAATTTTTGGGCATGTAGAGTTATTGGTATCATCTTAAAGCTTGGTCCCTTGTCTTTATTTGGATGAAAAAAATATCCATTTATCTGAAGACAAGTCGAGATATTTGCGAAAGAAGAAAGAAGGAGGTAGGGGTCACTTGTTTTCAGAGGTAAAATTAGTGAAAAAATGGCCGCCAAGATTAGTTATTTCCTTAGCTTAAGAGTCCGTGGTAACTGAAAATTTACATTTTTTGGTGCCTTTAATCAACGTTTTTCAGAAAAATTCAAACAGAAATGAGTTCTTTAATGGGAATGAAAGCCAAAAAACAAAAATTTGATAAAAATGCACAAATCTGCGGAAAAATGCAAGTTTCTTCACTTTAATTATTTTAACAAGAGCCTCATTCCACCACGCTGCCCCACATATATATATAAATATAATATGTATGTTAGGCCAAGTGGGAATTTTTTTTTTTTCCTGAGGTAGATACAGTGGTCTCTGGGAAATGAATCGCACCTCGTGGGACAAGAAAAGTGTGCCTTGAAGCAAATGTACTCTTAAAGGTGAATTTCAAAGGGGAGTAATCTAAAGTAAGTATTCTGTTGAATTTCATTGAATGTCGTGATCATTGAGCCGAGCTCACTCGAGCTGTGACATCGTTGAGCTGTGATGTCATTGAGCCGAGCTGTGACATCGTTGAGCTATGTACTCCTTTCTTAATCAAAATCTCCTTCGTTTCGTGAAGGAGTCTTCTTCACGGCTGCTGGCTAGGTGTTCTCGGACAAGGGCTACTACAGTTGGAGGGTCAAGGGTAAGCACTCCCTCTATGTTTGCGGAGCCTGCTAGCTTTTCTGCTCTTTTATTTCCCTTGACTCCTGCATGTCCTGGGCAGAAGATCCACTGCAGGCGTCTGATTTTGCTGTCTTGGATTGTCTTAAACCAAAAGTTCTGCACTGCCAGTATGCCTTATCTCTGTCCAGCCGCTCTCAGCGACTTGCGGCAGAAACTGCTGTGCCAGTGAACCACCCGCAGTGGCTCGGGCACATTCCTTTACGACGATCTCGACGTCAAATTACTTTTCGGGAATTACCAAAAACAGTTCTTTTTTTTACCAGGAGTTCATTTATTAGATGAAAGATGATTGAAATGGGTTTACTTTTTTAAAAAGTATTGACAGGTTTAGTGGGGTATATGTTGGTCAATTTTAGACTTTGTACCAAATGAGGGCCCTGGCATAGTGGGTTTACATCCATCGGAGATAAAGAGTTAAACCGGGTTGTGCTTTTACCCCACGTGCTATTTGCCAGAGACCACGGTATATGTTTGTCCTTGTATGCTCTGGGAAATATGTGTTACTTGAACAGCGTTATCCTTTTTAGCTGCATCCCAAGAGATCATAATTGTACTCAAGCACATTGTCATCAAATGGCTATGTATGTTGAGATGCGTTCATCCATATTATATTTTATGTTTTAAAAGGTCTTTGAATACTGTTTAGCGTGAATGCTAGTTGTAAAGTGCATAGAGCATGCTGTAGAGCGTGTATATGTGCTACATAAATGAAATTATTTATTATTATTATTATTATTATTATTATTATTATTATTATTATTATTATTATTATTAATGCGCAAAAAAGTGCACCAAAAAAAGAGAATTTCAAGAACTGAATTGTTGAAATCGAATCTGTCTGCACGGCGGTTGCTGCAGATCTAAGTTTGATCTGCCACCATCTGACTGAGCTAAGGTTAGGAACCATTCAAGCACACCACGTACAATGTAAGTAAGTAACATACGCACACGTTACTCTGAAAGCATGTCATGCTCATATGATATACGTACATGCTCTAGTGGCCATCTGTCCAATCAAGATAATCACCAGTGAAAATGACCACTTTCTATTTCCTCCTTCATGGAGTACTCACAGAAGCTACACACCCCTAATCACTTGTACAAATGAGCATTTTACCCCTGCTTTTTTTTCTGTATTATAATATAGACACTTTTCAAGAAGATTATGTGTCAAAGATGACCGCTTTTCTCCCTGATAATGGATGGTGGTGTTAAACAGGTTCAGCGCCATCATATTTATCAAATCTGTCGAGACTGCACCTTCCAACTCGCAGTTAAAGGTCATCAGCTGACAAAAAGAAATTTATTTTACCATCTATGAAACTTAAAACAATGGGTGAAAGGGCATTTGAGTATCAAGGCCCCAAGATCTGGAATGCTTTGCCGAGTGCTTCAAGGGAGATCAAATCTTTTGATTCATTCAAATGTCAGCTCAAGGCATTTCTGTTTTTGAATTAATAAGAAGAATATTTGGAGTTATTTTCTGTTAGTCAGAACACAACGTTTTATGTTACTGTGGTACACTTTATTGTAATGTAAAGCGCTCAGAGCCTGTGTATTTTTATTGGGGTTGAGCACTATATAAATGTATTTTATTATTATTATTAATTTTATTATTTTTATTATCATTATTATTATTATTAACTGTGCATCATTTGTGAATGCACAAACATGGCGTAGCACAATCGAGTGCATCGTTTTTGCACAAGTATACATGAACTTAAACAGTATTCAGCAGATGCGAAAAAGTGAACAGGAACATGTGATGTAAAGTTTGAATTGGAATAGACTTCCTCTGTTTTGAGTTTGCGCAAGTTAGCATTTAACATGTGAATTGTTGCTCTGACCCTGATTTGGGTTTTTAATTGATCTCAACTCATTTAGATTTTATTCCTAGTTAAGTGAATCTCTCTTACCTTCCAACTTGTCGAGAATCTAGTCCCTATCTGCTTTTATTTTTATTTGATGATCTGAACGTGTGGTTATTGCTGGATGAATCTCTCTTTTGTTTTGTTTGTTTTATGTAGCTGAATGTGCTAACCCAGACTTTTTTCCTTTACATATTCTTAGCTATGTTCATAGAAAGTAATGGTGTACGTTCCGCAAGTGTTTGTGCTCAAGATATTGCCTTATTTGACTCTTTCATTATTGCTTCATATCAGAATCTTATGTTGCTGTCACTCAAATGACCGAGAAACCTCTAATCTTCGGCACTTATATGACCTTATTGTGTTGCAAGTGCTGTAAAACTCTTACTAAAACTAAACTAATTGAACAAGAATATGGAGCTCAAAGCAAATGATATGTATTCAGAATAAAATTGGTTAAATCACTTCTATAATTTATAATTGAATTCATTTACCCTCACCATCCAAGAACTGAAAGGGAAAGATATTCTTGCCAGATGGAGATGCGGAAGTCGTGGTACCTTCTTTGTTGTCATAATAGTGAGGCAGCGTGGTGAAATCAGGCGCTTGTCAAAATAATGAAATTGAAGAAAAGGGCATTTTCCCAACTTCTTGGTAATTTTATCAAAATTATATTTTTTGGCTAAACACCTTTTATGGTCATATGAAAACACATTTCCAAATAAATTTTTCTGAAAAACCTTGTTTAAAGGCACTGTATATCTAATTTTCAGTTTTCAAGGACTCTTGAGCTATTAAAGTTTCCAAACTTTGGCGGCCTTTTTCTCATTATTCTAACCTCTGAAACCCGGCTACCCCCCTTCTTCAATGGCAAATATCTCGACTTCTAATTTCTATTCTAGCTAGATGGATATTTTTTCACTGAAAGCAAGGTGAGTGAATAAGCTTTCAGATGATATCAATAACTCCACATGTCCAAAAATTGACGAGTGCCTGATTCCACCATGTCTTGTCACATATTTCTTTTCGGGTGGAACTTAACCTCTTTACTGTTGGGTAGACATATCAATGTTCCTGTGTTCTCCGAGACTGGTTCATCACCGTTTGTTTCTTCTGGTATTTAGGCAGGATGTTTTAGTAGTTATAATGGCAATGTTTGCAGTTCTTTATTCTTAAATAAAATTTAAGTCTAAGTAAGGTTGAATAGGACATCCAACACTGATTGTGTCCTTTCGTCCAAAGATGGGGAAATATCTAGACTGGGTTCTAGCACAGTGTATTTTGTGCTAACACTTTGTAGTCACTTGGATCAATAATGTGTCTGGGAAAATTTTCCGTTCCGGTCACCTAGTGCAGTTCTGCGCCGTGCCCGAGAAGTCCGTTGCAGTGGATCTCTTTGCTGGGTGACCAGATGGGGTATTATGTACTGTTGGTTGTGTGACTGCAAAGTTTTGAAGGAAATAAGCAAATAGCATTGCATTTTGTTTATGTAGTGATAGACAAAAATGGAAAGTTTCCAGGTCCAGAAAAGGTGAAATACCTTAAATACAGGGTAATTTATAAAGCTGGTCGCAAAGCAAGCTTTATTAAAACAGCATTTACTGGTTGTAGGGTTATCAATAATAATTCATTCTCTTTATTCATTGTTTGGGAGGACAAGACACAGAAGTGGGCGTGCTTTAAACTTGCAATGTGCTCACAGATATGGTAGTAGAATACATTTGTGAGGCAGCGTGGTGGAATCAGGCTCTCGTCAAAATAATGAAATCGAAGAAAACAGTAGTTTTCTCCCTGCTTAACAATTTTGATCAAATTTTTGTTTTTAGGCTCAACACCTTTTATGTCTATTTACAAACACATTCCATTGAGGATTTCACCGAAAACGTTAATTAAAGGCGCAACAGTATAAATTTACAGTTTCCATGGACTCTCCAGCTTTGGAATTTACCTAGCTTCGGCGGCCATTTTCACACTAATTTTACCTCTTAAATCAGGTGACTCCCACCTCCTTCAATCCAAAATATCTCCACTTCTATTGAAGATGGATGGGTAATTTTTTCATTGAAAGCAAGACAAATGAGCAAGCTTTAAGATGATGCCAATAACCCAATATGCCCAAAAATTTACGAGAGCCTGATTCCACCACGCTGCCTCATTTTATAATTGTAAAAAAAAAAAAAAAATTCATTCATTGACATTAAGAGTTGCAAACTGAGCAAGCCTGAAATTCCAGCTTTCTAGGAGGAAAACAGTGTGAGAGTATTGAGTGTGCTGTTAAAAAAGATGTGCACAAGTTTTGTACCAAAGTTATATTTTGTAATTTTAATTC